CCATGTCCCACTAGCGCCATGGATACTTAAGAGATAGCAGAAATAACAAGACCCTAACACTTAAGATGGAGGGTCCTAAATTCGAAGAGCATATCCACCAGCTACATCTGATAAGACTGAAATTTATGCCAGAAAATGCCACAGCCAGAAAAACCCAAGGGAAGTGAGAACCGGTAGTGATACTATGAAGCAATTTACTCTCTCTGAGTAGAGACACCACATTCTAACACACACAAATCAGCAAAAGGATGGACAAGAACAGACACTGGCTTAGCATTTTCCTTCAGGGTTTACAGAACAATGCCAAAAGTTGAATAGAAAGAGATTTAAAAGCAATTCAGCATAAAAATGACAACGCAGATTTTTAAAATACCATTATGAACTTATGTGTAAAATCAAAGTCAGAATTCCTGTGAAATTAAATCACTTAAATTCCAGTCTTAATGACTAATGATGACTACTACGTTAACATTTGAGTATTTTACATATACAATGGATTTTCTGCACTAGGGGTTGTCAAACATGAAAAAAAAAATCAAAATATGTTTTTTTTTATCTTGCCAAATACTATTTAGCTCCCTCAGTGTAAATTAGCCAGGCATGGTGATGCATGCCTGTAGTTCCAGCTAAATTGGAAGGCTAAGGCAGAGGGATCACCTGAGCCCAGCAGGTCCAGGCTGCAGTGGCCGTGAGCGTGTGTGCCACTACACTCCAGCCTGGGTAACAACAGTGAGACTCCAACTCAAAAAACAGAAACAAAGACCATTGTGAATACAAAATATGAATTTAAGATCTCATTTTAAAATGGACTTTAAATTTGAGACAATAAAAAGTAAGATTTGACTAACAAAATTAGCTTGAAGTACACATTCAGGTTAATTTCAAAGACCAAAGCCGACTACTCAGGTGATATACTGTGCTGGCTTGTGTACTTGCCAAGGTCTTAGAAAACACAATTTAACAAAAACTTGACTCACATGTCAGAATACTTGTTCCCTTATTCGTTCTTGCTCTCACATCACTCAAGAAGTGAGGCTCTAATTTCTGGCTCAAACGTTGGGCTAGTATTACTACAAAAACATTTTCCCCCAGCTAATATTATTTCCCTTATTTATAAGATAGAAAAAAGAACCTTAAGGGTCATGGCAAACACCATCATTTTCATATAGGAAGACCATTATCATGTCTCTCCAGGACAGTGCAACGCCCAGGGAATTTCTACAGTTAGCATTAAGAAATTAGGACTCTACTCAGGTTCAGCATGGTGGCTCACACCTATAATACCATCATTTTGGGAGGCCAATGCTGGAGAATCGCTTGAGACCAGGAGTTTGAGACCAGCCTAGGTAACATAGTGAGACCTCATCTCTACAAAAAATTAGCCAAGCACGGTGGTTCGCACATGTAGTCCCAACTACTGGAAGACGAAAGCAGAAGGATCGCCTGAGCCCATAGGTCAAGGCTGAGATGAGCTGATCATGCCACTGCACTCCAGCCTGGGCAACAGAGTGAGACTTTAACTCAAGAAAAACCAAGCCAAAACAACAAAAAAACTATATTCAGGTTAACAAAGTAACGGTGTAGAAGTATGGAAGCATTTATTGCTTAGATTTGTTTTTCCTTCACAATGTTATTCTAAACATTAATCTCAGAAAATGTGCAAATTGACATTTCAGTATCTGCAACATTAAATAATAAAAAAGCCCCTATAAATTAAGCTTTTATATAGGTATATTGTTGTGTTCCTGTATTGGTAACCATCTTTTTAGTTTTAAATTTTGCTACAGGTTTGTATGAGGACTGTCTAGTTAGCTAGTCCAAGAGAGCCTGATTATACTATGAATAGCATTGAAGAATTCCATACATCTGAAAATAAAACTCACTTAAGACTTAAGGAGAAATTAAGAGTTGCAGTCACTTTTGGCTATCCAAAAACATTTAAAACACAAAACTCAAGTAATAAGTGAAGAATCTTTTTTAAAATAATAATAAAATAGAGATAAGGTCTTGTTTTATTGTCCAGGCTGGAGTGCAGTGGCACAATCACAGCTCACTGTAACCTAACTCCTGGACTCAAGCAATGAGGATTGCTGGGACTACAGGCACAAGCCACTGAGTCTGGCTAAGTGAAGAATCTCACATAAATATCACAATATTCAGTCACATTATTGACTCATCATTGGGAAAATTGACAAACCTAACAAACTTCAGCATAAAGCCGTGATTCACTTGCAACAGAAAAAAAAAAAAAATCAGTCTTGTCTTTAACTGGTCAACCTGATGTGACATCTCAGCTGTGGTAAAATGACTTTAAAATAGGAATTTAACATTTCAACAGAGTGTCTTTACAAAGAAATACCTTGGATCTACAAACCAGTAATAGAAGATACCTCAAAAAGATTAAAAAATGATCTGAATATATATGCCATATGAAAACTAAACTCTTAATTAAGTTTAACCCCAATAAACTCTTAATTAAGTTTAACCCTAAACCATACGTTTTCTTATGGTTTCCTAACATAAAATACATCATAGATGTTTTCTGGAGAAAAACAAAATTAACATTGAAGATGTCAATCTTATCTTGCTTTCAAAGTTTGTGTTACAGTGACTACCCAGCCACCACCTCAAACTCCAGCACATTTTACATCAGGTCTTTATGTCTTGAAATTCGTTTACTCTTATACTGTGATATCTGGACGACATTAACATACTATCGAGCTGTCCAAAAGGACTAGGCACCAGTTCTGCAAAGTCTGAGTGTGCCAGAGAACCTTTCAAGGAGATTCATTAAGCCACAGCGACTTTTACAATACTACTAACACTTAGTCTCTTCAACGCATTGACATTTATACTGACTGTGCAAATGAACACTGGATAAAGCAGTAGGCACCTTAGCACAAATCAAGGCAATAGCATCAAATTAATTTGATCATTGATTTTCACTGCTACAAACTCAGAAAAAAAGGCCCAAAAAGTGAGTCTTGGTTAACTGTCTTTGATAAAGCAGCAGAAAATAAATCTTATTAAACCCATGGGTACATAGATTTTAACATTTATAATAATGAAATGGGAAGTTCCGGTTCTATTTATTAAAGTGTGACAGTTGTCTCATGCTATTATTTGAGTTGTGCACCGAACTAGTACTTTTCATGGGATACCACTTAACTTGAATGACTGACAGCCTACAGTTATTCAGTAGACATTTTCTCTAAAATAAATGAAGCAGACCTATCACTTAAGAAAAGCAACTGAGCCGGGCTTGGTGGCTCAGCCTGTAATCCCGTGCCTTTGGGAGGCTGAGGAGAGTGGATTGCCTGAGTCCGCGGGTTCGAGTTCCGCCTGGGCAGGTGAAACCTCATCTCTACAATAAATCAAAAAATTTAGCTGGGCGTGGTAGCATGAGCCTGTAGTTACAGCTACCTGGAAGGCTGAGGTGGAAGTATCCCTGGAGCCCAGCAGGTCAAGGCTGCGGTGACCAGGAGCAGCCACTGCACTCCAATCTGGGCAACAGAGTGAGACTCCAACTCAAGAAAAAAAAAGAAAGAAGAAAGAAAAGAGGTGAAAACCTTTTGGAGGGAGGATTGGCTCACTTAGCAGGATTAATATCCTCTCATGAACTATGGACAATGGGGTCTGGGGAGCCAACAGAGAAATTTGACAGGAAGAACGGATATCTGGGTGGCAGGCTAACTCATAAAAGGCCTGAATATATGGGATTTCAAGGTATTTGTTGTTTTTCTTTAAGTACAAATCAAGCTGCAAAAGGGTGTTAGGGGCTAGGGAGCCACCTTCTGGACAGGTTTTGTTATTCCTCAGCTTATATTGTGGAATTGAGGTACAATTGGGATGGGCTC